GCAGGTGAGCAGGGAGCACGGGTGTGGGGGGTCCCTGGGGAGCACAGCCTCCAGCCCCTTCCCCTCCCGACAGACCCACGGCCAGAGTGCTTGGGCTCCCCAGCTCGGTGCTGTGTTTTATTCCAGGAAAGACCCAATATTCAACTGTCAGGCAGCCCGGGCTCCCCAGCTCGATGCTTATTTTTTCCCAGAAAAGCCCCAATATTCAACTCTCCACCAGCCCACCCCGCTACAGAGCGATTCCTGCCTGCAAAGCGCCCGACCACGCATCTCTGCACAGCAGTCGCCCTCCCATTACCCACGCACGGCCACAATGCTCTGCAGTGATGCCGGGCCCAGCTCACCAGGATGCCGGCAGCGGCTCCCACCAGTGCAGTGGGTTGCACCCCACTCCCGGCATCATGCCACCCCAGTAAGCCACGTCAGGCTGTGTTTATCTGCTCTCTGTTGGTGCGCACGGGTCTGGCCATGGCCAAATGCCCATTCCAGGCATTGCAGTGCGAGACTGGAAGGGCTCAGTTTCCATTCAGGAAACAAAAATAAACCCCAGCTCTGCATCGTGGGGAGGAATTCCCCCACGAAAAAAAATAAACGCCGTGAGGAGGTGCCAAAATTGGCACCTGTCCAGGGGGAGTGCAGCCGGCGTCCTTTCCCCACCCGCCACCTCTCCCAGCACGCACTGCCCTGGTTAAAAATAATCCCCAGGCTGGGGCCAGGAGGCCGCGGTTCCCTGCTCCGACACTTCAGGAACTGAGACCTGGCTGGTAAATGTGCCAGAAAAGGTATAAATCCCACGGTACTGGTGCAGCAGTACTGGCGGCACAGGCAGCCCAGGCGTGTGGGTGCAGGCAGCGCTGCGGGCAGCCCAGGCGTGTGGGTGCAGGCAGCATGCGGGCAGCCTGAGCACGTGGGTGCTGGCAGTGCTGCAGGAAGCACAGGCATCTGGGTGCAGGCAGGGTGCGGGCAGCGTGCGGGCAGCCTGAGCACGTGGGTGCTGGCAGTGCTGCAGGCAGCTGGGAGGGCAGTGTGCTCCAGATGCCCCTGTGAGAGGAA